CAGGGCAGGGGGTTGTGGAGTTATGATAGGACAGTACTTGAAAGAAATGTAAATGGGGGGACGGAGTGCAGGGGCTCTCAGGGCGGGACGTAGGACTGGGGGGGAGCATGAGTCAAGGCAAGGGTTTGTGGTGTGGAGGGGGGGTTCGAGGGAGGGGGCAGGAGTCAGGATTGGGATGTGAGGAGGGGCTCAGGGCATGAGGTGTGGGGTGGGGCGGGAACTATTTAGGGAAGGGGGGGGGCTGAAACATGCCCCCCAACCCGGAGAGCCCTACCCCAATGCTGCTTGCTGTTCCCTTTTGGCAGTGTCAGGGCGTGTGAGGACAGGGCAAAGTGTAAGTTGTTTGCTTCTCTGCCATCTCCCCTCCCCAGCCAGGAGGGAGAGCAAGGCAGGGACACTGCGTGCCTCTCACCTGCTGACAGTGTTGGAAAGGGGACCAGTAGCAAAGTCCTAGTGCACATCTAAATGGTAGCGGGGGGGAGCTCAGGGCTGGTACACCCCTGAAGGGGGGGGCACCCCTGCCAACCCCTTTAACCTGTTTGGCAGCCTGCGGCTTAGTGCAGCAGCCTGCAGGAGAGCGCAGGGCGCCTGGCTAGGAGCACACTGCCCCTGCTGCAGCTGAACGCCCCATCAAGCCAGCAACTTCTTGCACTGGCTCATTTTTACCTCTGGATGTGACCCTGCATCTTCCCCAGCACAGCTGCTTCGCCGCTCCACTAGCAGGGTCAGCAGGGGCTGAAGGAGGATGATTTTGTTTCCTCTGGCTGCTGTAGTGGCCCAGGGGTGCCAGCTTGAAAGGTAACTCAGGACTGCTGTTGTATGGGGCTGGGGGTTGTCATTACGCTACAGTCAGCAGTGTCCCTTGGCCCTACACAAGCTGGCTTGGGCCGTGCGTGAACGCCGCAAAGCCGGTTATCCATATGGCTCACTTACAGGGCCCTAGGTGCGTTGCAATAAGTGTCACCAGTCTAAGGCGTTAGGTATTGGTTCTGTGCCGGTGTTGCTGCTCTGCTGCACGTACTGCTAGTCAGAGCTAGCACCAGCTTAGGTACCGACAGCACCTCCCGCCATTACCCCAGTCGCTGCTCACCTCAGAGGCGTTAATGGATTTACCCTCACAGCCCTAACACAAGGCTGGGCAGTGCTGGGAGCCCCATTTTACAGATTTACATTAAGGCCCAGAGGAACTAAGGGCTAGTGTCACAAAGGGCCTTTAGTATGCACCTGCCCTGTAAGCCTCTTAAGTCCCTGAATCAGGCATCACTGGCATTCACCCTTCCTCCCCCCCAGCTGTCACCCCACCCAGCCAGGGCCTTTTTATTTTCTGCAAAGGTTTCCTGTCCACCTAGGTTTTTGCTGCTAGGCTTGTGCATTGCAGGACCAGGCTGGGTGGCCGGAGGCCTGAGCCTCAGAACAATTCACACACTGGGGGATGACAGCTGTGCCTCTAGCTGTAACCTGCAGGGCCTGACGTGCTGGGCAGGCTCCAAGTCTGCCTAATGCTACAGAGACCAGCCTAAGGTGTACACCCACATAACCTTTATCCCAGGGCGTTAGTGCACTCCCCTGGGATGGGCGATGCACCCTTCCCCCGGCCTAATAAAAGAAGAGATTTAAGCAGGGCTCAGCCATCTGTCAGATGAGTGTTCTGGCCACTGAGCTATGGGCTAATCAGCTGTGGCGCAGCCTCAGTCTCACCTTTGGAAATTATTGCACTTTGGCTAATTAATTAATGGATCAGTGGGGGCAGGAGTACTGGAGCGTGGGGCTTGCTGGATGAGTGTGTGCCCCACCCCACCCCCAAGGTTGTGGGCTCACATGCTTTCTAGTTCAGTGATACTCTAATGGGTTGGCTGCAATGGAACAGCTTCAACAGGAGAACTTAGTGGACATCTCCCCTCCCCCCCCCAAGGTCCCTGTTCAGCAGTTAGTGCATGCGCCTGAGTGACAGGAGGCCGTGGGCAGCCGACGAAGCTTGCCCTTCGGGGGCGGCTGGCCCCTGTCCTGTCTCTACCATCTGAGGCCACATTCCCACTCACTGCTTTCATTCCCCGCTCCTCATGGTCTGGGGTATGGAGGAGGGGTGGACTGAGCGCTTGGCTCTTCCCCACTGTGGCCCTGAGACTGGGGCCTGAGTGGTGAGTGAGAGCTCCTCCAGTCCCAGGGCTATAGAGGGGGCAATTTTTCCAGAGGCTCCAAATTGCTGCCCAGCTGCTGCCCCATAAGAAGGCCCACAGAGACCTGCATCCAGCTGGGACAGCAGACTGGCAAAGCCCACTCCACCCATGGCTCCGTACAAATTTCCCGAGAGTTCCTCTTAGTATCCTGTTTCTTGGCCACTCCCGGCTCCCAGGTTTGCCTGAACCCTTCCTAGTCAGAGGCCTTCCTCCCACCTGTCCTGGAGGCAGAAATGGTGCCAGAGGAACAGGTTTTGTGGGTGTTGGAGTGGCCTGCTTAGCAGAGCCAGCATCACACATAGCTCTGAAAATGTGCATCGGACACACATTTGAACTAGAGTGTTCTATAATGAGGGCCTCATACAATTAATTAGCCCACATTTGCGGCCTTTATGACCACTGTGTAACTCATAGTGCCTCACTGTATGAGACAAACTCTACTACATACAGCGTAATACTGTTCTTCGCTTCCCATGGATTAAAGCTGATTATGTGGCTTCCAGTCCCTACTTATAAATACACGAATACTGACGTCACAGCTTGAATAATTTGTATTTTCACTGTCCCCTCTTGAGTCCTGCATAATACATTGCTACTTCTATTTATTTTGGGACATGTCTTAGACACAGAAAGATTAAATGGAAAAACAGTACCTAATAACGCACTATACACCAATGAACCTATTGGCCACCAGTCGCTCTTACATATGAATATTTATTTTTTCCTTTCTGAAAAATGTACAAAAAATAAAATACCTGTATTTATAGTTTATCAATCCCCTCTCCCATTTACAACACTATTAAGTTACATGAACTATTACCTTAATATAAATGCACACTGTTTATACACTAAGCTTTCTTGCTTGCCAGAGAGGGGCTGTCACAAAATTTGGCACAAACACACTTGTTTGCCTCTTATCACAATTTAAAGGAAGTAGGAAGGGAATAAACATTTTACATACTTTACATTTTTAGTCTCAGGAAGCAAACTCATTTCCAGTTCCAGAGAACACTACATGCTGCATTCAGAACAGCTGTACAGCTTCGTTTTTATTGGTGGCGCTGAAACCATCAATTCCACTCAATCTGCAACTTTTAACCAATCCATAGCTTAAAACAGAGGAAAACAAACAGGAAAGGTGTCTGAAACAATAGCTTCTGTAGTTCATGGATCAACACAAGAGAAGAGTGGACAGGAGATACACATAAAGACAAGAAGCCTCAAAAATTCTTCCAACCCCATCAAACTGTAGTTATTGTTAAATTGAACATGTGGAGGGAGGAAAACTGCCATTTCCCAACTACCCACTAACCAAAAATGTAACTCCCAAATCAGGGGGTATGGTTATTGGGACTACAAGCAGCTGAAATATGTTGGTGCAGCATCAGACTTGAGATTTTTATAGCATATTTTAGCGTTCATAATAAGGCATTCAATGGACGGCTATACAAACAACTATCTGGAATGGCCCACTGACAGCTGAGGCATTACTAGTTGTTGCGTGATAGCACTGGTCTTTTGCGGGACAGCTGCTACGTACCGTCCTGCTGGAGTGTTTAAAAAGTAGTGTAATATTTGTAAATAGTAAACTGTCCTTAATGTAAAGAGCTCCATGAACTGGCTGCCTTTCAGACTCCACTAGTTCATATTTAGGACTCCTTTCTTGCAGGAGATTTTTATTCTTTTAAGCAAATAACCACAAACTGCCCAAAACCAGCAAGATAACACAGGCAATTTTGTCCTCTATTGCACCATTACCAAATCCCACTCACATTTAAATTAGGAGCAAAATGTTAAATGTAAGCTACATTGTTCAGCAGAGGTTTAGATGAAGTATAAATAAGTGACATATATGTTTTAAGCAGCATGAATGTAAATAAATGCATGGTATTTTTCTGGGCCAGCTGAAGCCTTTGAACCAATGTATAATGGATATTTACACTGGACGGGGAGCTCTCCCATTGTTCTAGGAGAGTGAGTTACTGGCACTGGGCCTGCCTGTGTTTTGAACTCTTCTTTTGATCAATAGCTCTCAAGGGTGAACCAAGCAAGCTTTTAACCTGTCACCCAGAGATCAGGATCCTTTGTTTCTTTTCTCAGCAGATGCTATCACCAATGTTACCTGTAAGCTGAGTGCTTGGGTGGCCACCCAGGAGAGATTCTCCTTGGGTGGCCACCCAGGAGAGCGCCCACAGCACCTGCAGCCGGTAGCATGTGTTTCTATTGGTGGGGCACATCTGCATTTGCCTTGGTGTTAGGGTTGCCAGATGGTTTCAACAAAAATACCGGACACACTTGACATTACATCATAATCTACGGGTATGTGTAGACTACATCCCTCTGTCACCAGAGGGATGTAAATTAGACATACCGAAATTGCTAATGAAGCGGGGATATAAATATCCCACTTCATCTGAATAAAAATGGCCGCCGCTTTTTGCCGCCGCAGCACTTTGCCGGCAACAAGCAGCAGTCTAGATGGGGATCGGTCAACAAGGAAAGCTTTTTCCGACCGATCCCTTATGCCTCATGCAATGAGGTTTACAGGATCGGTCAGAAAAGGCTTTCATTGTCGACCGATCCCCGTCTAGACTGCTGCTTGTTGCCGGCAAAGTGCCACGTTGGCAAAAAGCGGCGGCCATTTTTATTCTAATGAAACGTGGGATATTTAAATCCCCACTTCATTAGTAATTTCAGTATGTCTAATTTACATCCCTCTGGTGACAGAGGGATGTAGTCTAGACATACCCCAGATTACATTAGACAGTTATATTTTCTCATTTATATTTTCTCAATTTGTTTCCTGAACAGAAAGCTCAAATACTGGACTGTCTAGTTCAAAACCAGACACCTGGCAATCCTACTTGGTGTACATAACAAAATGTATTCTGCATGTTGATGGAAAAAAATAGAGGGAACACTGGCTCTCACTAAAACCTAAAACAAGGCAGCAAGCTGTATTCTCTGTAAGGCTTTAGGTACTTGTGATGCCATCCACTGGAGCCCCCTAAACTTCAGGTCATGACCGATAGATAACGCTAAAGAAGAAATGACTATCAGGTTTCCTTAATGTAGATATATTAGTCATTGTTAAATCTTTCTCTATATCAGCCCAAATCCTGTTTGCTGTACTCAGCCTTTAGGAGGCCTTTCGGTTCAGTATGGCTACCTATGCAAGTAAAGCCAGAAGGATTTGGCTGTTCTGTGACCATCTTAGGATCTTAAACACTTTATTTTAAAGTGTATGTTTACAAAAAAATTTCAGTTAATCTCAGGTGCACCTCCTCATTTTGCAGACAGTGCGGGAGCGCACCTGAGAACCCCTGTTCACATTTCCTAAAGCTCTGCAGTTCTCATGTGTCCTAGACTAGCAAGCAAAAGTGTGCTCCGGCAGTGGGACACACTGCAACCCACACACACTCATATCTTATCAGTTATGCAGATGAGAAGAAATAAATACGTTCCTGTGGAAGGGAATGCAAAGTCCAATAGTAACCCAAGCGTTGCTACTGCTGCTGCATATGCAGGTTTTGCTTGGCCTTTATCTATGTCAACGATTCGGTCAATCCAAAATCCTCATTGACATCTGCCACTGCTGTGCACTGCTAAGCACTCCCCTATCTAAAGCCACAGATGGTTAAAATAGATAAAAGAGCTTGACTGATATCAAAGGGCCCTTATGCTTGTTTACCCACAGGCTTAACTTTAAGCACATGAGTAGCCCAACGGAGCCCTTGTGACTGATTGAAAGACCCTGTTGAGATGTCAGAATTCCAAACAATAGGGCCTCCATCTTCCACTTAGAAAAGAAAAACTCAAGAGTAAACCCCACTACGCAGTAGGCCTGTGCATCCTACTCAGGCCTGACTCTCACCTGCCAGAATTCACTTCTTTTTACAAAGAGTCAGAAACTCAAGTCAGGATAGATCCTTGCTCCAAACAAAACCCAAACTTAAATACCATAAGCTTCTTATTCCTCAGAGTGTCCACTCTTAAACACCATGACAGGTGGGTGGGGAAAGCAGCCATGTGGGGACTATGTGTGGTATGAAAAGGCCACAAAACACCTGCCAGCCCTACTTAATGGAGAACGAGATACAGAGGCAGAAATACAGTGAAAAGCAGATTCTGGCTATGGTGGGTCTGATTCTCCCGAGCCTTGCCTGGGTTCCAGTCCTGCAAAGGATTACGCACATGCTGAACTACGATGGTGAAGTTCTGATTTCATAGGCCTGCACATGTGAATAACTGAGCATCTGTGCAGGGTCAGGAGCATACATTTGTACAAAGCAAGTGTTAAAACAAGAACACCAGATCAGATTGGCAGCATTTTACACCTACCTTTGCATAGACTGTGCAAGGCAACAGAGAATCAGGCCTATTAAGCTGGGAAAATATTTCTGTAGGTGATCACTGCCATAACATGACTGAAAGGGATCAGCATTGAGAGGGAAAGAAAAGGATTTTGGAGAAAAAATAGACAGCAAGAGAAGGACCAAACAATCCCAGTACATTCAACTTTGAGAGGCAATGGACCAAATTCATCCCCAAACTTAGCCCTTTGAAGTTAATGGAGTTACACCAGGGAGGCATATGGGCTGATACTTGTAAATATTCCAGTATAAATACTGAACCAAACCCATGAATCAGATGTGAATATTAGCTGCCCAGCACAGCCTCACCCCTCAGCAGCTTGCAGAAATCTAAACCTCTCAGAGGACAGAGACTCAGTTCACCCTTAATCCAAACAAAAAAACATAGTGGCAGTAAACACGCCCATATACAGTAGGTTAAAATATATTATTGCATATTATAAACATTATATACAAGGTTAAAATGGTATTTTTTCCAGCTTACTTACAAATTACAGTGTAGCTGAATGCCTTACTTACATAGCCTCATTGCTACATACGGAGAACTACCAGAGGTATTTGGCAAGACTATGTACTACAGAGCAATAGGCATCATTTCTGAGCAAGCGAATTCAGTTGGCTGCTTTCCCCATCTTTAGCATGCACAAATTAGTAGCATCAGATTTTCTGGCAACTGATCGTGGAGGGAGCTATTGCTAAAGTGATTTTCAACCAGATTTTCCACATTGGCCCAATGTAATTCCTTTCCTTAATTTAGAAGGCACTGTGCTGTTTTAACGTGGGGGTTCAAACGTTGCTATTCCACATGAGCTCGGCATGACTGCACCGGTAATCGCTTACACATTGAAGAGGGGGGAGCAATAAATAAAGACCAAGTGAACATGCATGGCCTTGTACCTGACAGACTCAAGTCACTGTGTGTTGGGTTTGTTTTTAGTGTGGAATAACAGAGTGGGCGATACTTTCAATGTACTTTTGTGACACTTTCTCTGGTCAGCATTGACAAATCTGCAAGGCTCCTGGGGACTGCTGCTCTTCACAACGAGGATGAAATGCTGTGGCTCCTCAGGCAAGGGCCCTGAGCTGAGCTAGATCTCAGTCAGTGTGATCTTGAAGCCTTCCACTGTGCTCTCCATGTTCAGGATGAAAGTGTCCTCATTGGAGTAGTGCTCAATGATGTTATCATCCATGTTTACCAATATCCTGGTGACAAATGAAGAAATCAGTATTCTTACATACCTGGCCAATCAAAGGGAAGATTCTGCCACTTGGTCAAAGCAATGCTGCCTGGCTCAGTGCTTTCACTTCCTAATCCTGACTTGCCCCAGAGATCTCTTTTAGAGACCCACAGATGAAATCTCCTCTACTTCCTGAAGAGACAAGAATCTCTCTTCCTCCCCCATCCCTCCATAGTGCACTGTGAAATCACAGTGGGAGTGGGAGAATGGTTTTAATTTGTTTGCTTTATTTTCTTACAGCATCTGGAGTAGAGGCAGCTGCCAGAGCTGTGTCTCCTGTAGTACTTACAAACTCTGCAGGACAAAGGAGCTGTCAGGGGCAGGATATCTGTAGATTTTAGAAACTGCCTAGAACTAGAGCTACAGCCAAAACTTCTGCATCATGCAACTGTAAGGAACCTGCCCCACGTTCCTTGCTCTGTAGCTCATATTTAACTGCCCAGGTGCATTTTGCTACTTCTAGCCTGCTGTATATACATATGGGCTAAATCCACACTGGCAGCTTCTTGCGCAAGAACTCTTTTGTGGAAGAGTTCTTGTGCAAAAACTCTTCCAGAAGAGAGCATCTACACTGCCATGTGCTTTTGCGCAAGAGATGTGCTTTTGCACAAGAGCATCCATGGCACTCTCTTCTGCAAAAAAGCTCTGCTGGCCATTTTAACCATAGGGGCTTCTTGCACAAAAAATTCATGTTGCCTGTCTACACTGGCCTCTTCTGAAAGAGCTCTTGCGCAAGAGGGCTCATTCCTCATGGGCTGTGTCTAGACTGGCCAGTTTTTCCGGAAAATCAGCCGCTTTTCCGGAAAAACTTGCCAGCTGTCTACACTGGCTGCTTGAATTTCTGCAAAAGCACCGACTTCCTACTGTAAGAAATCAGTGCTTTTTGCGGAAATACTATGCTGCTCCCGTTCGGGCAAAAGTCCCTTTTGCACAAAACTTTTGCGCAAAAGTGCCAGTGTAGACTGAGATTTGTTTTCTGCAAAAAAGCCCCGATCGCGAAAATGACGATCAGAGCTTTTTTGCGGAAAAGTGCATCTAGATTGGCACGGATGCTTTTCCGCAAAATGTGCTTTTGTGGAAAAGCGTCCGTGCCAATCTAGATGCTCTTTTCCGAAAATGCTTTTAATGGAAAACTTTTCTGTTAAAAGCATTTCCGGAAAATCATGCCAGTCTAGACGTAGCCATGGGGAGAGGAATAACTCTTTCGGAAGAAGCCCTGTTTTACAATGCTATACTGTAAATGTACTTGCGCAAGAATGCGCGAGCAGTGTAGACAGCCAGCAAGTTTTTGCGGAAGAATGGCTGTTCTTCCACAAGAAGCTGCCAGCGTAGACATAGCCATGAAGATTTACTTCTGTGTGAGTCAATGAGCTCTGGAAATGATTTGTAGTTGGGTGTAAAGCCTGAGCTACATCAGGTCAACTGGTATGTGACACTAGAACATGTTTCCTCATTCTCTTCTAGGAAGAAGCTGACTTAAAAGCAAACTGAAATTTCCTTAGAAGCCATGTATCAGAGGGATAGTCATGTTAGTCTGTAGCTGCCAAAACAGCCAGGAGTCCCATGGCACCTTAAAGACAAACAGATTTATTTGGGCATAAGCTTTTGTGGACAAAAACCAGAAAGTGGCTTATTGCCCAAGAAAGCTTATCCCCAAATAAATCTGTCAGTAAGGTGCTATAGGACTCATTATTTTTAGAGACCATGGAAATTCCCCCATGAAACACTGTTCAGATAGAATTAGAGTGTAAATAGAAGCCAATTAATATAAAATGACAATACTAGAATGTTGTTGTGATTTCAAAATAAACATTGCAAAACAGGACATTAAAGTTTGGGTCCTAATTTTCTTACCTACCATTCTAATAATGAACATAGCTCTGGCCCCTTCCTGCAACTACCAGCTTCCAATCTAACTTTCTGTTCTGGGACCACAGACCATTACAGGAAAATTCCTTCATCCTGCCAAATCAATCCTGATTGTACCCATTAAATCAGTGGTCACCAACCAGTAGATCGGGATCTACTGGTAGATCTTGGAGCCTCTGACAGGTGATCCTGATTGGTTGGCCAAGAGGCTGTCAAGTGCCAGCACTTCAGCTGTCCCTCCCCCCACTGCTGTGCATTTGCCTTGGAGCTGCTTCCCCACACTCCCCAGCCCCCCAGGAGCCTCCTGCTTGCTGTTCAGAGCAGGCAAAGGAGGGGGGGCACTGGTGTCAGGGTGCCCCCCTTCCACTCTGTATTCTATCTTCACAGAACGGGGGTATGGGGGGAGACAACAGGGCCTGGGATGGAGGGAATTTACTGGCCACTTTTGAAAGCAGTGCAGGGCCAGGGCAGGGGTGAGCCTGCCTCAGCCCCACTGTACCACCACCCAGGAGCCACCTGTGGTAAGCAGTGTCCAGCTGGATCCAGCTCCAAACCCCTGCCCCAGTCATGAACCACATTCTGCACCCCAAGCCCCTGTCCTAGTCCTGAGCCCCCTGGACCCAAACCCCTTCACAGAGCCTGTACCCTGAACTCCTTCCTGCACCCCAATTCCCTGCCCCAGGCTCAGCTCAGAGCCCCTCTCACACTCCAAATCCCTTAGCCCAAGCCCAGAGCCTGTGCCTGTCCGGTGAAAGGGGAGGAGGACGGATTGAGCAGGGGCAGGACCTTGGAGAAGAGGCACGAAGGAGGCAGGGAAAAACGGTATTTGGTAGATCCTGGGTTGCACTTAAATAAAAAAAGTGATCTTGTGCTTATGTATTTGGTAGATCCTGGGTTGCACTTTAATAAAAAAAGCGATCTTGTGCTTAAAAAGGCTGGAGACCCCTGCACTAGATCAAGGCTAGAGAACCAGTAGCCCAGTAAATCTCGAAGATTACATTCATGATGCACACAGGACTTTGCTCTCATCCTGCTATGGGCTTGATACCCCGCTCTACCCCATTCAGCCCCAAAACCACTGAAAGAACGTGCTCCAGACACAAACTGGAGATCAGCTTTTTCCATTTCCTCCACTCTTTGTCATCTGCTTGGTTTAGGGACTTGCCTCTTACTAGGTGTTTGTACAGCACTGAACATAATGGGGCTGTGATCTTACCTGCAATCTCTGGGCACTACTGGATCATAAATCATAATAATTAATTAAGGTTTTACTTTCTCTTACCCTTTTTTGCTTTTCTTGTAAAGTTTTGCAATCTTTTCTGCTGGAAGCCCATATTTCTCAGATATCTGAAATTAACAATCCACAGCAAGAATTAAAGGCAAAAGAGGGATGGAAAAAAAACATTCTGTATCTTCAGGATAGGGGTCTCAAACTCACAGCTTGCGGGCCAGCTACAGCTAGAGCACTGTCACTTCTCCACAGTTTCCGCTGCCAAAAGGAGTACAGTGGGGCCTGACCCTCTACTGACTCCCAACACCAGCCCTCCCTGTAATCCTGGAGGCCACGTTCCTCAGGGGAAGGGTGCAATGGGGGTAGGGAGAAGCTGGAGCAGTGGCAGGAAGGCGTGAGGCTTGGGGAAGCATTTGGACACGCACACACCACCAGGACACCTGGGTCAAATTGCAAAAATTCTCTGGCCATAGAAGGCCCATGGGCTGTGAGGTTTGGAACCTCTGTTTTAGGATAAGATGTTGAAGTACCAGTTCATGGAGGCTCGCTCTCTCCCTCTCTGGTAATCCTAAATAACTAGATTTTTATAAAAACACTCATGAGTCCAGCACCAAGAAACACAGCAACGATAGGCAAATCTCACTGTGACCCACCAAAGCACTTGTGAGAGTTCCTCCACCAGCAGTTAACATTTTCTGCCACTATTCACATTTGTCCATTTAGCAAGACAATTAAGGGCACATCTATACAGCAACTAAACTCGAAATGAGCTACACTAATTGTGTAGCTTAAGTTGAAATAGCTTATTTCAACTTTTGACACTGTCTACACAGCAGTTATTTCGAGATAGGGCACTCTTCCCCTGATTTCCTTTACTCCTCGTACAATGAGGGTTACAGGAGTTGGAATAAGCAGTCCTCTAGCTCAACATTATTTCAATATTATGTTGAAAACTAGCCTATTAGCTCATCATAAGACGGGATTTTCAGGTCTCTCCTCCACGTCGGTCTTCTCTCCTGAGCCTCCGATCTGTCGCTCCGTCTCTCTCTCTCTCTCTCTCCGCCTCCTACTTCCTCCCCCCCCCTCTCAGCTCCCCTCTGCCTCCTCCCTCTCT